CCACCAATACATGCAGAGGAATGCCACTAAATGTCGCCGACATTTGATCGCCAACTGCACCGGTATTTCAGTGGAAACGAAAAACGCGATTTTTGACGAGTTTTATGACAAACCTATCGATAATCAACAGACAGAGGAAGAAGAAGACAAGGAAGACGTCGAAGAAGATGAAGAAAAAGTAGAAGATATGGCTATTGATCCGGAAGATAGTATATTGGGCGCTGACGTTGAAGTGGTTGCGTCGCCGTCGGCTCCCGCTGTCATTCAAACGGCATTCGTTCGGCACAAGTCTCGCATAAATATTTGGCAACATTTTGATTTGACGGTCAGTTCGCGACCCATATGTCTGTACTGTCGTCACCAATATCTGCAACGAAACGCCACCAAATCTCGCAAACATTTGGTCTTCAGCTGCACTGGTATTCCCGAAGACATCAAACAAGAGATTAGAAGTCAGTGCGACGAGAGATTCCTGCGACTCTACGCGGGAGTCAAACACATGACGGCCGCCAGCGATGACAGTCTGGCCGACGATTATGTGTTCACCGGTGGACTCATTTTGCCGACGAAAATAAATCGACCGAAATCTCGCGTTTGGGAACATTTCAGCGAAGAGACGGAACCGGACGGTCGTATTGTCCGCCGTTGTGTGTATTGCGCGGAACAGTTCGAGTCGGGAGTGAGCCGTCACGCGCACAAAATTCGACACCATTTGGGCATTCAGTGTCCACTCATTCCGCCCGACGTTAAGCAGACACTAATCGGCGATAACGTTGTGTTCGCGCGCCGAGCGATGCACTCGATTGGGCCGAAAACGCTATACGAGTGCAGTTGGCCCGGATGTGAACGCAAATACCCCAAACCGTATGTCTAACCGTTGATAGTGTGCTCTAACAGTGTTCACTAAATTATCGTTTTTGAAATGTTGTTTAATTTAGATGTCAACTGAAGACACACCAAATGGATCACACGGGAGAGCGTTTGGCTTGCGATTGGCCGGGATGTGAGTGGACGGGCCGTACGGCACACAATCTCAGACTTCACAGATATATACACTCTGGTAATGAACGCACTATTTAACGACTGAATCTTATTTTAATTGTTATATAATTAAAATATATTTTTAGGTGAAAAGCCATATGAGTGCGATTGGCCGGGCTGTGAGTTTCGGTCCGCTCGACCTTCGAGTCTTAAGATTCATAAGGTATTTACATAAAGACATACCAATGTTTGAATGAACCACTGATTGGTTTATACTATTAATTGAATGTATAGTTACGGCACCGAAATGTGTTGCGATTCCGATGCGATTGGGAGAACTGCGACCGCACTTTCCTCACCGGTTCCCAACTCAAAGTACACCGACTGACACATACGGGTGACCGACCCTTTGCCTGTCAACTGTGTGACAAACGCTACCCAACTCTTAACAAACTTAAAGTACATCAACGCAAACAGCACTCTAACATTAATGCCAGCGTCTAATCGATTGTTTTACATTATTTTATCCATAAAATTATTCATTTTGATTGAATCAATCAATTTATCATTAATTGTCATTTATTTTATAATATAATTAAAGATTTTATTTTTTTAAAAATTTATTGATGTTTTAAAATATTACAAAAGATATTGAAAAGTTGTTTTAAGTGTTGAATGGGATCTCTAATTGAATCAAACAATTGATAAAAATAGATAATAATAATAATGAGTATAAATATCGAGAGCAAAACAAATGCCACAATTTGTATTAAGCAAAAAATCCCAAAATTTCTATAATTATCGTTGAGTGCGAAGACTGGCTGTTGAGGCCATACTTGGGTCGCCCTTCGCTGGAGTAATGCCTTGTTTATCATTAAGCGATCGCATACTCGTCGTCGACGTACCGGTTCCGGCTTCGGCGGTGCCGTCCCCTCGATTGGCCAAATTCTGATTGGACCGAAGACTCGTAGACGAGGCCGTACTCGTCAAAGTGAGACCACCGGCGCCGCCACCGGCTTCCTGTCCGCCAGGCTTTTCGGCCTCTTTCTGTTTGTTACGCCAATACATATATCCAGAGACACAGCAAATCAATATTACCAGAAGAAGGATTATCAACAATAGCAAAGAGATCCAAACAATAGGACTCTTCGGCTTAGCGGTCGTGGACAGAGTGGTGGGCGAAACCGATGGAGAACTCGCTGCCGTTGCTGCCAAAGTCGTGAACGAAACCGATGGATCCGATGTCTCCGATATATTAGTTATAGCCGGTGTCTGCGAAGAAGTAACAGTCGTTTGAACGATCAAATTAGTGGTAGTGCTTGTGGTCGGAGATGTCGTATGTATTGTGGTATTGGTAGACACGGCCGGGGATGTAACGGATGCGATGGCAGTCGGCGGTTGAGTCACTGCTTCCGATGAGGTAATGGAAGCGACAGTCGTTAATGGGAGGGATGAGACAGAGGGCGACAATGGGTTGGACGGCGCCGACGGTGAAAGT